GCGCTTGTACGCGGCTGGAATTAATTAACGGCATTAATTATTACCGGTGTGCGAAACAAACAAAATTATCCCCCTCAATTTATTCGTGGGCCGCTCATAATTTATTTCATTTGTCGTCGACCTCTGCTTCGTGTTCCACCTCCTCCTCGTTAGTTGTCTACGACGCGATCGGTAAATCAGTTGGTCGGCGGCGAGTCACGCGAGGACATGACACCGCAATGGGGCGCATACAAATGCACACAATTAAATACACATAATCGAATTTGCATTTGAATATAAAAGATCTTTCTGACGGCGCCGCACTACTGCGCGTCCGAGTGTGAGTTCCGAGTGTGCGGTTGTGACGATATCCTAGCTGAGCGACTACACAATAGCTGTGGTTCTGTGAGCTTATCGACAGCTTGCCTCTACCGACTAAACGACCAGCACATCGTCGTCGTAAGCCTAAGGTCACCTTGACCAAGCTGAACCTCACTTTCGCATAGTGTCGTTCTTAATCGCCACCTCGCATCTTTCCCTTCTTTTGGCCAACCCTAACGAACCTGAAATTGTCGCCTCAACCCACAACATGATACATACCACTCACTTGCTGCTAGTGCTCGCCGTTGTCGTCGGACAACTGTCAACGATGTACGTCACCAAGGATGACATGAAGTCGCGACGCTCCAGCCTCGAGTCGTTCCTGTCCGAACTGAGGAACGAAGCGGCGCTATCTGGTCGGATGAGGTAGGAAGCGGTCGGTCGTTTGCATTTAAACCACCCGTTCTAAACCGTTCTCGAACGACCCTGTTTCAGATTCGGAAAACGCACGGCGATGTTGGCAGACTACCGCGACTTCCCCCGTCAGCTGAAGTACGACAACTATCTCGATTACTACTTATAGAATGCGTCTCACAAAAACTCACTTCCGGTAAACAGTTATGTTCTCTATAAACAACTTCCTCTTCCTCTTTTTTTGATCGCTATTCGCCATCGATAGCTTTCCACATATTTTTGATGTGTTAACCATAACATGTGCCGTTGTTAAAGTTTATCTGTATTAAAATGAATCATTATCGCTAGTTCCTCACATCTGATCTAAAAATGAACAGAAATTGCCCTCTGAAGTCGACACAGCGAAGATAACTGTAATATACCACAGCAGGAAACCATTTCCTGGTCCAGAATTATCTAGTGAGGTCAACTGATGGAACAATGTACAACGTGACGCTGTCCTCTTCCGCATCAGGTACCTTCAACGTAGTTAGAAATCAGAAAGTAGTTGAGCATAAACCGCTCATCACAACAAGCGAAGCCAGTTCGCCATATGGACGAACAAAGCGACAAGAGGCATGCTTTCAGACGGATATTCTTTGAATGATATAATTGTTTGTGCCTTAGAGCAGAAACGGTTAGCTAAGCTAAGAATGCAGTAGACAGCACAAAGCACAGACGTACGTTTAACGCAAACCTCTGAAGATGCCGATCACCACAAACAACAACAGTAAGGCTTAGTTAAAAAACATAAGCATAATTCCGGTAATTCAAGTGACGGGAGTTATGGTACATCTCCCGGCATCTGGCTGCTAATAGTGAAATCAGCGAGCGGCCGCTGCTGGTAATGCGCAGATATATCTCGTAATCGGGGAGAGGATTCAAACCCTATGCATGGGGTTCATTTTCTTTCATTAGTTGCTTTTTGAGTTATTTCGGTTGTGCTTCCGTGCAACCAGCCGAAAAACCGATAGCAAGAAATTAACCTGTCGTTAAGGGCATGGTCTTTGGTATGGTCATGCCGGAAATACGAGAAGATACGCTATATGGTGTGTGATGTGTGCGCTTTAATGGCAGCAAATGGTCTTGATCCATCTCATACCGTATCGAATATCAACACATAATAATTAATAATAATGCATAACTCTTTCAAGATCAGACTTCACGGCGTATTGCACTGGATCTTGCAATTATTTGCCTTGG